CAAAGTGGGTTGGACAAGGCATCTGGGACTGAACAGGTAGATAAAAGGCTTTGGACTCTGCACATAAACTGGCTGCTGGCTTGAGGTTACTTTCCGAGGGATATCAGCTTGGGCCAAGAGCAACAGGGAGAAAGCATCTCCTGATTTGCCTCAGCTCAGTCAGCCTGCAACAGCCAGCAAGGGTACAAACAGCAGCAGAATGGACGGGGGAGACCTGGTGTCCCACGAGTCCCCAAAGTCACCCTGCTCCCTGTGAAGTTGAGAGGACATGGATACATGGTGAGGTCACAAGATGCACCCAAGGTTCCAGGTGATCTATTAACAAAGTCCCTAATGTCAGGTCAGGTCAGGTCTTTGGGTTGATGTCGGCCATGACCTTCACTCTTTTAACTTTGATGATATGCTCTTATTTTGGGGGAGAGTGACTTAACTTTAAAGGCAAACGTCTTCAGAACAGAGAGTACTAAGCAAGCATGAGCAACCACCAGGGAAACAACCAGAAAACTCTCCTGTGACAGGTATCCCTCCCTTCACGTGCCACCAGAGTCAGGATTCTAGGGCAGTCCTCACAAGTCCTCAGAAAACTGAGGGCTCTGTTCAGCATTTGAGTAGGTGCAATGCCCCTCCCCTTTATTTCCAGCTTCCACTTTTATTTGTACATTTTTACAGATAGTCTTGAATAGCGAAACAGTCACACCGTGGGCAGTGGGGGTGGGGCAGGGAAGGGGCACAAGAGGGGTTCGGTGAAATCTCTGTGTGAAGGCATCGGCACACTCACGACGCACACACACCACTACATACAAATGAGAATGGGCCTATGGGCCACCCAGAGAGGATAGAAAAAGCTCGGGGTCCAGGGGAGAGAAATGGGGGACACAGGGTTGTTTCCCTGGGGAGTCACAACAGGCCCTAGGCATGAAGAGTGGTAGGCTGGCATGTGTCAGGGAGATCCCAGGCTGAGCTGCAGCTGGGTGATGCCTAGACTGGGACTTGGCTTCTGTTTCTTGTCCCTGAACAAGCCACCCTTGCAGGGGTACCATTGCCCTTACTTTGGGCTGGGCTCTAGTCATACAGAGAGCAAGGACTTGTTATTCTCTGGTAGAAAGTCTCGGTGCACGCAGGGAAGAAGAAAAGAGTGGGGATTCTTTTGAGGAATCTGTTCTTTTCCCCTTTAGAATCTATGACCCAAGCAAGATCATACTGGGCAATGTTCAACTGGATAAACCATTCAGAGGACCTCCTATCAGAACTCAGAAGTCACTAGCTTTGCAGCCTGACAAGAGGAAGCGGGCTCTCACTCTATCATACTTATCCTCACTCTAAACATGAGGGAACTTTAAAAGCTTTAAGAATTGGACTTTTCCCCAACATGAGCATGTACAGCTAGGAATGATACTAGAACTGTTCAAACAAACAAACAAACAAACAGCATTAACTCCACACCTGCTTTAGAGGTGAACTGCTACAGCCATCTATGTATGCTCTTAGCCTCCACATGGTCTCTTCACTCCATCACTTCTGGTAATAAGCAACAGGAATGAGCGTGCACTTTGCTAAACTGGCCTTGGAGAAAAGAAAGTGAGTCTGGCAATGGGTGAAGAATACGAAGGAGGCAATTCCTCTAGAGGGTTCAAAGCGGGGAGTGAACCCCATGTGCTCCAGTTGGACAGCTACACTCTAGTTCAGCAACCAAGATCGCCCCCCTCTCTCTCCACATTATTGCACTTGGCAGAGCCTTGATGGAACCATTCCATTTTAGTGGCTACGCTGCTGATAACGGGTAATTTGAACAGTGCATAATTCATAGACACTTCATGTTTGCAAATCGCTTTGCAGTTTCTTTGTCACCCTTAATATACCATGAGGTAAAACGTTATCACCATCCTCATTTTGCAGATGAGGAAAGGAAGTTCAAGTATGGAGAAGACACAGTGCCCAGAGTCACAAATCATATCAGTACAGAGTGGAATGAAATGTACAGTCATGGCTGTGTTATACAAGTGTAGCTTAATTAGTGAATTTATACCCATGATTAGATTGAGATGGCACCTGAAGAAAAAGAATAGTAGGAGAGAGAGAGAGAGAGAGAGAGAGAGAGAGAGAGAGAGAGAGAGAGAGAGAGAGAGACCCTAAATAGTAACCTTTAGCTCTGGCATGAGTTTTCAAAGACCTCCTTGCTGTCCTTGGGCCTTGTGTTGTTGCTACCAAGAACACAGAATTCCTGATGCCAATTCTGTGGCCATGCCATGTCCTCCTGGCCCCATTTATCCCCCCAATGACAACCACTCACTGAAGAGCTTCTGAGGTGCTGACCATTATGACTGGGCCCACTGTAGAGGCCTCAGAATGATGCGATTATGATTGGTCTCTCAGTCTTTTGCATGCTTTTTTTTCTAGTTTTCTATAATGAGCATGTATTCCCTGGGGGGGGGGGGAGCTCAATAGCTATTAATAACCCCGTCTAAGGACTAGGAACAATGTCAAAGAAATGTTTTGTGGCATAGAAACATCAATGGAAAGATGGTAAACATAATCCTAGAAGTCAACACTCTGAGAGGCATCATCTGTAAGCATCTGCTCTGCTGGACTTGCATGGAAGAAAAACCCGTCCCTTTCCTCTGTCTCCATGAGCCGGAAGGCAGTACCCAGGCCGGTCCAGCTGAGATGTGCTTCCCTGTTACTATCTGTGCTGCCAGTTCTTCTGACTTATCCTTTTTCCCTGGGGAGGGATAGATGTGCTCGCTGGGGCAACCCAGCCCAGGCGCAGCAGAGACATGTTCAGAAAAGAAGATTCCCTTGAACTAGGAGAAGCAACAGATAGGCCACCTGAACAAAGACAGAGGGTGTCTGGGTCTATCCCCACTTCTTCCACTCCATGACTGAAAGTCAGTGGGCGGATGTTCCCAGCCTAAGACAGTTGAAGCCAAATGTTCTGAGCCACGAGTTTAACTTCATTATTCCGAATTTTATTAGGTGGGCAGCATTGGGGACCTAAATAGCACATCTTCCTGAAGTCAGGAAGACACATGCAGCCTTTTCCTGTTAGGTCTCTTACTATGTATATGGATGACCAAGGAGATGTAAAGTCTCAGGGTACCCTCTCCTATGGCGGAAAAGTGACATACCTGGATAGAACCCTGGACAGAGGGAAAATATACCAGGACGGTGCCAGGGCCTAGGGCTCCACTCAGGGACCTGAGGCCAAAGAGGGCTGATCTTGATGTGGTGGAGCTGTCTAATTATGCTTTCATGATTTCTAGAGGTGAGAAAGAGGGCTGCTGAAAGGCTGCCAGGTGACTGAAGCTGAAACAGACATTTTCTTTCTTATATTTTGATGTCAGTGATCCACACACATCTTTGTGAGACCTTGGGCCATGGTGAAGAAGCAGAGGAGTGCTTGAAGTCCCTCTCCTCCTTCAGAAGGCAACTGTCACAAACTGATCATAAGGAAAGCCATAGGCAGAGGAAAGCAGAAAAAGAGCCATAACTTCCAAACGAGGAAAAGAAATTGTACTTACTCACAGCTAGACCCTCAACGTTCCCAAACCTTCAGTCTAGGAGAGATCAAGGGAATGTCAAAGCTGCTCTCACACTGTTCATTTGCACAGAGCCTACAGCATGTGCAGTCATGTTCCTTGTAGACACATAGCTAAAAGAATCTGAACTTGACCTGGGTAGGAACTGGGGGCCTTGCAGAGGCCACTGGCTCTCAGTCCCCTCAGAAGGTTGGAGTCTATGATTTAGAGTTAGTGGAGTCTGAACTAGAGTGTTTCTCCTTCTATGCTCTCTCTTGTACTCACTCCCTAGCCACCTCACAGCCAGAAAGCTCCAGAAACTGCCTGAGAGGGGCTCATTTTAACCAGTGGTCCATCCCCTGTGATGGGAGGATCAGGTCACCTGGACAGAGATTGCTATCTATCCGCTATCATTGTGGAGACTTCCATCCTGATCAGGTGCCGGAGCTTGTTTCTGTTGCTAAGTAGTACAGACCCCAGCCTGTGTGTGTCTGCACCTGTCTGGATGATAGAGCGAGAAGGTTACTCTAAAGTCCTGCTCTGCTGATGGTGGGTTGAATCAACTGAGCCAGAGAATCTATCTTCTTCCTGGGAGTCCGTCTAATATTTCAGGAATGCTCATGTTTCAAAGGAAGCCAGTAAGTCTTATTAAAAGTTTGTCATAGAGTTGGGCAATTGGATAGAGCAGATGATCTGTTTATGATGAATATGAATTTAAAAAAAAACAGGGCATAAATGGGAGGTCTGTGAACTCGTATGTTCAAACAAGTTTACTTAAGAAAACTTTAGTCGATAGCAAATTGTCAATAGCTTAGCTTCCTCCATCTCTTTGCAACTGGAAAACAACTGGGATTAATATTCCATCACAGACAAGTTCTGTGCCCCCAAGTAGATGTTCGTGGCCACCGACTTGTCCCTGCTCAGGTCAAGATACCCTGGAGGAAGACAAAAATCCTCTCAATCTGAGGTACTTTCATTTTCCAATCCCAAGTATGTCCTTCACCTTAAGAGAAAAAATCTAGCTTTGCAAAGGAAAAGAAAAAGGAAATTCTCAATTAAAAAAACTGGTGTTTTTTTTTTTTTCTGAAAATTATTTCCCTATCCTAGAATACACTGCTTATCTTAAGAACAACGTTTAGAATCTCAGCTGGAAGCCAGTAGCATTCCCTGACCCTCAGCTTCCCCCGTTCACCTGGCACTCCGGCACCCAGGGTCCTCACATGTAAGACCTACTGTAGGATCTGACCAGGGCCCTGGTGAGGGAGTCTTGAGAAATGCATCCATACTTCTATATAGGTACACACACACACACACACACACACACACACACACACACACA